CTTCTTTTCAAAGCTTTGGCAAAAGAATGGCTAAGGGTGCCTAGATCAGTGCTGAACTTCATATTATAGCTGCAATGCCCCTGATTGGTAGCTTAGACACTGTGCTGCTGTTTCCTGAATCCCCAGGGCTTAGGCTGTGCCTTGGCATCTTGGCGACAGGAGCAGTTCTAGAAGCACGTTCCTGAGCTGCACTGGATAACTTGGGTCAAAAGAAAGGGAAATACCTCTGAAGCTGGATAGGTATTGAAAATGGCTTTCCTTGGATTCCAGTTCTGAGCTTAAGTTTCTAAAACTTGCTTTGTTTAGTAAGTACAGTTTTCTGACCTATCCTTAGCCAAAATGTGTATTCTAGGAGAACTTGTTTTGGCATGAATAACATTGCAGAAGTTCAGCTGCTATTTCAAGGACAGATAAAAGATCTTTCCTAAGGAAGGATTTTTTTTGAGCAAGGAAACAAACTGCTCTGCAATATAGAGGAATTCCTCTATTCAAGTTTGCACAGCAACAGCAAAGACCCAGAGAGAAGTGTTAATAGCTTTCATTGTGGTTCTGCCTGGTCAGAGCTATTCTCCTAAGTTAAAAAACATAAATACATGTGAATGCTTAAGAGAAAATGTGTCCATTGCAAAGTAGAAAAACCAGACGAAAAAAATTGAGAAGTGATGGAACACGGGATGCTCCCTACTTTTTCAGGTTAAGAAGTAACCTCCCCCTTTTTTATTTTTTTTTTTTGTAATATAACCTCTGGCAAGAACTGATGACAGACATGTGACTATTAGCTTCTAGAGAATAACAATTTATTTTGACAGTTCTGCACATAATGCTGTCAGTTTGAGCAATTCACAGTTCTGTTGATTTTTTTCTCATTTCTGTTTAATCACTTTGTGTGGTTGCTTAATAGCTAAATCTATTTGCTCTAGTGTCTGATGCAACAGGCTTATTTACTTCTAGTTTAACCAGAATAAGTCTGCTCCAAACTGTTGGAAAATACCTCTGTAGAAGTGTCATGATATAGGCTTCCAACACTTTTTGAACAAATTTTTGAAGGGTTTTTTTTTTACCTCTGCATAGGAATAAGATAGTACTGGTGCCTCTGTGAGTTATAGATCTCTTATTCTAAGAGGTTTTGAAACAGATATGCTCTTGTAAAATACACAATAAACCTTTGGTTCTTCCTCAGGCAACCTAACCTTAAGACTTTGTCATAGTTTGATCATTTGTTAAATGTTGAAAAATTACTTAATTTTTAGTAAGCATTTAAAAAAGGTACTGTTTGAATTAAGTATCTATAAACTGAGAAAGTCAACATTTTTGAGGTTTATGATTTGTACTTTTCCTTTTATTCTGTTTTTTTTTGTTTTTTTTTTTTTAATCTAAAAGTTGGGAGATGCAAGACCCAGTTACATCTCCTGTAGTGTCAACTGCATTATTTGTGGTTGGTAATCTTTCTTTTCTAGAAGAGTAGTTACAGTTCCAAGAAGGCTGTACACTTTTTTCCCCCAGATAATATGCTTATCAAGAAGAACTAGAAGATTCTTAATATCCTTAAAAAAGACACTTTTTTTAGAAAGTATTAATTATTGTTGTAAAAGTGTGCCAGTAAGTGCTCTCCTAAATATAAAACAGAACAATGTATTTCTTCTATATTTAGGAAATGGAAAACATATGGACATAGAGTGCCAGAAGGAGAATTTGTTTAACAATGGGGGGGTATTAGCAGGTTTCTAGTTACAATGTTTCTCTGTGCTTTGTTAGTTTTAAGTTCTTTTTAAAATGCTTGAGGAAGAATAAATTTGTCTTTCTCTAGTGACAACCACCCTCATACCTGGAAAAAGCTTTATCTTGCTCATCATTGGCCAGTGACTGTATGTAAGGTGAGATTTTTTGTAGTTTGTTCTCTTTTATCCTAACAAAGGTAGCCTTGGACAATAAATGTGTGAAAATAGAATGAATAAAGCCCATTATGCATTTAATCTTGGTTTTGCCCTTATATCTTTATAAAGGCTTTGGCTGATCTTGATGCAACTCTTGCTACTTCCCCTGCACCCCAGAGCAACTCTAAACAGGACAAGGTTGTGGTGCATTACAGATACAGTAGTGAGTATAGGACATACTGCGCGCTAAGGTTGTTAAATAATTTGTTAGTCGTAAAGTTAATCCCAGATTTTCACCAGACCGTAAGAAGACTTGCCTGCCTTGTTTGACTGAAGACAACAGACCAGTACATGAACTGTCTGCTGCACAATAAGTTTTTTACCTTTGTAGTGCGGGCTCCAGTATGTCAGTGATGTCATCAAATACTGATTCGGTCAGGAAAAAGAGAGCTATAAAGCTGTTGTGGCAGGTGTCTCTGAGTTTTGAAGCAAAAATGAACTCAACCCTCCAAAATATGTCTGTCAAAAGCACTGCTAAGAGGTCTACTACTTGTGTCCTTTCTGCTATTAAATGCCTATTACTATCTGATAAGTAGAACACTTTTCCTGTGGTGGAAATACTCAGAGGCCTCTTCTCACACAGCGAAGTTAAAAATATGCAATACTTCTAAATGAAAGACATGATCAGATTTACTGATCACAGTAAATGACACAACGATAATGAACTTTGTGGATAATGGAGGTGCTTCAGTTTCAGACAAATGTCTTTGGAGCCAAAAAGGTGTCTTCAGCTTATTACTATATTAGAGTCTTATTTTTTGTGGTACTTTTTTATTTCTCATTCCTATTTCTGGAAATACATATGAAAGCAGTAGCAGCAAAAGTCTCAAGCTGCCAAATATCTGAGGAGAAGTGGATGTACTTTACATTACTTAAATGTGGAGGGCAAGTATCAGCAACAAAACTCAGATGTGCATGACTGATTGAGGCCAAGGACCAAGACCAGTGTTCTTTTTATTTTTTGCTTGCCTGTTTTTGAGGGGAAATAAGGACCGATTTGATGCAATATGTGTCTTATTTTCCATTGATTAAACATAATTTTTACTGACTTCAAGCAGAGACGTGTTCAAGAGTTTATAGTGCCTGGCACAAGTGGGTGTTCAGTCAGGAGCAGTGCAAACCCTTGCTTACATGAATGAGATGTGAACAATTAAAAAAAAAAAAATCACATTAAGACACAAACCAACCAACGAATCAAACCTCTACCAACCAGTTTTCCCACTATATATTTATGCTGGCTACTCCTCTTAATTCCTGCGTGGTGCTATTGGTAAATTGACAAATAACGTTTATAACCTTCCAGTGAATTTATAATGAATAATTAAAGATATTGAGCATCAGAAAGTGTAGGCATTCTTCCACTTGGTTGATTCCTTATGATCTTCTGTAGTAAGAGGTAAACAGAACCATTCAAAGAAGTGAAGAAAAAGTGAAATTAAAATAATTGTGAGGTTTTTTCCCAGTTTCACGTCACTGAGTCTTATGAAGAAACAGAATCTCAACTGTAGTCCCATAACAACTTTTTTTGTTACATAAAAGCAGTTCCTAAATCCAGCTGTGGGCCTTTTTTTTTTTTTTTTTTTTTTAGGAATGTAGATCCTTCTGCATGTTTGGTGTATTTATATATGATAACTGTTTTGTTTCAGGGAGTAAATATTTTTACTGTCATTCTTCATATTAAAACTGTTGACATGAAGTTGAAAGGAAAAATAGCTGTGTGAAGCAAACTACAAAACTCATTTATGTAAAAAACTTGTGAGACACTCCTTTCTGAAAGTACTTATTAGTTTATGCTTCCTGTATAAAGGAATCTGATTATAGACTCTTTCCTACATAGTATGTACTTGAGAGGATAAACACATGAAAGGTTTTAACTTATCAGCTTGCGCTAGAAATGTGTTCAACAAGAAGTAAATTTGTTTTATTTCCCTCCTCCTAAATTTTTTCAGCAACCTTAGGTTCATTCGTTGGTTTGTTTTACCCCTGGGGGTGGGGAGAAGGAGGAAGGGGAATAATTACACACTCTTTGGGGGAGAGAAATTGAAGAGGTAAGCTCTCTCCACAGTTTCAAAAGCAAGGATTTTTCATAGCAGTTGTGATGTATCATTACAAAACAACACTTAAAATTGATCTTCATTAAACAGATGGCTTAGTTAAGCAGGGTGGTTGGAAGGGAGAGCAGGATTAAATATTTCACTTCCCAGAAGCTTACTTTTTATTTAAACTTGGTGTATCCACGTGATCCAGTAGCACTACGCTGTTGTCTGTACAAGGTTCTGTACCAAGGGACTTGTAACTGGGGCAACTCAACAGGTAACACTTCTGTGACAGTTTGATGGATTTTCACTTTTTTGGCATTTCAGAGGTGAAAAAAGCTTCCACGCTTCTGGCACATGCTGTTTGTGCAATGTCTTGCTCTTACAAATAGGCTAAGCTCTCTGCTGCAACATTCTCTCTCAGCACGGTGGGTGCTTTAAAGTCTTACTGGCACTTTTCTCAGTTTTATAGATCATGTATAGTTAATTTGCATTTTTTTGATTATCATACTATTTTAAAGCAGGAGAAAACAATGTTCCTTTTTCAAATTAATCTAGATATATAAGGCTTTCTGGGGTCCAATATCTCTGTGAAAATACATATTTGTGCCCTTGTTTCAAGTCAACGGTTGCCTGAGTTTGAATTAATCCTCCAGCAGTCAGTCCATGATAAACAGGAAGGCTGTCAAGAAGTGTTTTTGCAGGAGCAGGCAGTGGTAGCTAGCTTTTCAGACTAGCATTTGCTTGATTTATGATATTGATTTAAAATTAACATTGGAAAAATACTAAGGCTAGAATTATCAAGAAGGATGAATGAAGCTGGCCAAAGCATGTGAGGCATGAACTGATGTGTTTTAGGTTGCATTGACTGCTCAGTTCTGCCAACACACAGGGTAACACCAAGAGCCTGATGAAATGTGTTGGAGAAACTGCTAATGAGTGCCTGAATAGGGGAGAACTAATTCCAGAATTAAAATACTCTGAGTTTTCCATTAGCATGAAAGACCTGAGAAAGGCAGTTAAAGATTGGATAAGGAGTACAATTGAACTGTTCTTGTTGCCATCCTCAGCTGAGCAGGCCACTGGCTATTAATGTGCTGTATTTTGGGCTAGATAAGCCAAACTCTTTCAGCTCCACAAAGCTTGTGTCATGACAGGAACAATATTGTTTAGGAGTTTGCAGTATGTGTTTGTTCAAAATATTTCTTTCAGGAAAAAAAGCTCTTGCTGGGTTTAATTGCTTCTGTTGTTGGTGGCAAGAGAGGAGAGGAAAGAAATGGACACAGAACAAGACAGTCTTGCAGAGCTTGCATATTTGCTGCCACTGGCCTCTGGCATGTGGAAGGCAATTAGTGAGATTACAGGCCTGTCTTTGCTCTTCACTGCACTCTGCTCTTTCTCTGGCATCTCATAAAAGGCATTGTGGCATAATTAAGACAGGATGCAGAGCCAAAAAGGAAACCTATTATTATGGGGAAAGAAACTCTGAGGAGGTTGTTAGTTAATGGCAGAAAATGTTTACCAAAAAGAGCCATAATTACTAAGCAGAATAATCAGGGGAAATACAGTAATGGTATTTTATGATGTTTGAAGTTGAATTTTTTTGTTTTGTTTTGTTCAGGAATATGTCTCTGCTCTAAACAATAGTTAATGTGTAGGCTATTTCTTATATATTATCAACAGTTTTGATTGGGGGATTTTTGTTTGTTTGTTTTTGTAGGAATGAATATAGTCTTTCCTCTTCTCTCTATTCTCTTGTCCCTGAAGTCAAAATATTTAAAAAATAAATTCTAACCATTTTACTAGGAATAAACAACCTATTTAATCTCTTTGTTGTATTTTTTTCCTCTTAATATAAAAATAAAACTAATCCTGAATGCTTAAAGAAGGTTTTGTGCTTGTCTCATGTATTTTATTTTGGTAGTTTTTATTTTAATGGCTCTGCACTTCTTGAAAAGATCTAGTGATAAGAAAAATACAGGGAGCTGCCACCTGGAATATGATAAATGCTGATAAAACTCCATTAATTTAGCATGGATCAACCTATTCTTTATTACCTCAGAACTGTCCTTTGTCTTCTTTTTATACTGTGTGTTCAGGATATCTCCTGGTATTCACTTGATCTGCTTCAAAATTTTCATGCCAATTTGTCTCTGCTAAGTGGCATAATCTATGACAGCTTCAAGTAACTGGGGTGCACCACCAGTTTCTTGTATGTAAAAGTTATATAGTAAGAGTTCTTATGTCTCACTAGAACCTTGGACCATCAGTGAATGAGGTTTTGGGTTTTTTCCCTCTAAACCAGTAGACACATTGTCCTAGTTAGGACAACTGAGACCAGTTCATCAGGGTATGGGTGTAACCCAAAACTGTGTATTCTATAGCCTTCCATGCCATTTCCCAGAAACTGTTATCAATGAACCATTTACACCATCTGCCCATAGAGCCTGACTCCTCAGGCTATAAACTAGGTGTTAAGAGGCCTGTGAGATAGGAGGATGCTCCTGTCCTCACACCCTTTGTGGAACTCCCCGCCCTGAGGGAAGTGCTGAGCATTCCTGCCTGAACTGCAGGATATATAATCTTGGAGTCTTGGAACATTTTTAACCACTCTGTGGGATCCAGAGAAGGACTGCGGCTCATCGCTCTCAAACAGACTTGGATCACCCTATACTGGACTCCAATCACCACTTTGACCAGACTGCAACAGCTCTTCCCCCAGCATCTCACTGCAATCACCACTTTTGACTAGACTGCAACAGCTCTCCCACCAGCAGGTTCTTCCCCTCTCCCTTTACTTTGGACTCAAGCGGGGCCCAAGGCACACCACGTTGTTCATGCCCCAGGGTACTGGGTTATACATTTGGGTTTTGTGGGTTAAGACCAATTGTTTGTTTGTATGAT